GGACATCCAAGGGGTTATATATTCTGGTTAGCATTTCCTGAAGTGAAGCAGAGTGATTGAAGGAGCCAGAGGAAAGAAACTACACAGAATAATTCCTTGACAACTTTAGAATGAGCCCTATATGGTGGCATTTGTCAGTGTAAAGGTCTTAAATAAAATAACTTACTGAAATATTTTCTGATTTCAAATTACAGAGTATCTGAGTAACATAGGACTTTGAAATTATTTCAGTTTATTGGTTGTTTAATAATATTTTATTCCAGAATTATAATCTTGTCTCCTGTCTGGCTAACCTGAGAATCTATCATTCCTTTAATCCAGGTGTCACTGTAGTCCGAAATCATTTTGAGCTCTTGTTTTGCCATCTGAGATTTCCAAAGATGTATCTAAGATTAACCCCAGTCCATTTTAAAGATAATTAAGGACCAGTTATTTATTATTTATTTTTCCAGGGTTAAACTTGCTATAATGTTCTCTTAACAAAAGAAAACAAACAAACAAACAAACAAAACAAGAGTGACATTCCAAATAAAAGTCTAAGAATATTCAACAGAAGTAGGTTATAGATAATGTGTGTAAGCCAGTCAGTGCGGTTAAAGGTAATAGTCTGGGGAAGAGCAGAAAAAGAGAAAAAGAGAAGCCTATCTTTGTAAAGTGATTTTTCCCCCTGTTATAGAAGCCGGCACAGATGTCCCAAACAAGACTAGTGAGATCTGCAAGGACTTAAATGAAAGGGTCAGAAGCTGTCCCCCCACTAACCGTGATTGTTTCTGACCTCATAAAAAAAAATACACTGAGACTAGACGTCACTGCCTTGACTGATCCTCAAATGGGGCCATAGAAACAGGGAAGTCTGATGATCTGATTCTCCTAATTAACTCAGGTAATTCACAGTGGGGAACTAGCTAAGACCTTTACTCTTCTGCCATCAACCAGATGGGCAGAGCTTGCTTCCTGAGAAATGATCTTACAGTTAAGATATGCACAGTTCCTTTTTTCTTTCTTGAAAATAGGAAACCTGATTTTCAAAGCACTGTGCTTCTAATGCTGATATTTTTACCTAAATGACGCCAGCCCCATGCCAAGACCACAAAAGTACTGTGGGATAGAAATGTTTACATTTTGGCTTCCCAAAGGCAAAAATGGAAGTATCGATGCTTCTTTGTTAACAGCTTCTACTTAATGATTCATGTAACTGACAATTATCAGTGACACGAAAGAACATTAGTGGGACCTGAGAAATACACTGTCAGCTTTCATTTGCTTATGTCCTTTCTAACACACATGAGGGACTAGACTGTGTTTGGAAAAAGAGGAAGAATTTGGATGTTGAGTTATCTGTATATTTTTTAACTGCTTTATGAGATCAGTACCAGTTCTTTCTACCAGTCTCTCAAATTCAGGTTTTGCTCACAGGAACACGTGCCTCTGCCACCACATCAATCTTCTGGGGAGTTAGGAATGCAAAGATCTCTTTTTGTACCTTCACGACCAACACATTTGTTGAGAATAAAAAGGGCTAGGCTTTGACATTTTCCAGCTTGTTATCTATTTAATTTTCCATCTGCTTCTTTTGCCACTGCCTTCCAAAGGAACATCTGCTGCATATCTGAGAAAAGGGAAGGAAGACTGGATCTGCGCCACCTGGGTCTGCAGTCCTAAACCTTGGGATCCAGAATGAGGGAAGGGAAGAAGACTAACAAATGGTCCAGAAAATAAAATGAGGACAAACAGTCTGTTAGGAACAAAGCCGTGTTTCCCTTTATTGCAAGGACCACATGATTGGCAAGCTGGGCAGCAAGGACTACAACCAGCAAGGGCCGCAGGAGGGGAGGCAGCTGGTGACTGGCCAGCGGCAAGAGCAGTTCCCAGAGCTTAGACACTCCCCCCAGTGTCTTCCTCTCCATATGGTACCCAATTCCTCACTGCACTCTTTAAGCTGCTATGAGTCAGGCTTTGTTCTGGGCATTCCAGAGGCATAGATGAATAAGACGTAATTCTTATACTTAAATTAGCCAGCCTATGGGAGATATAGACAAGTAAACCACAAATTACAATATAAAGCGACAAATTCTGTTTTCTAGGTAGAGAAATGATGGTACAGGGATACACAGAAGAGGAAGGAAGTCTTTCTAATCCTTTGAAGAGAGATGGTGGTTCAAAGGACGGAATGGGTATATGAGAGAGTGTCATGAGCTGAGTCTGCAGGATGAGTAGAAATATCAGAAAACAACTTCTTTTCTCTCTTTATCACCAAAGGGCAGTCTCTAACAGCCAGCCTTAATAATTAACTCAAAAACATAATCACCCAAAGTCTTAAACATACCCACACACCTCTCTCTCAACGCCAAGGCATCAACATTTATATCAAATATATCAACCAGCTGGGTTGTGACACTTTTAATATTACCTGAGAGTCACTTGTGAGGACAGAAAACTCTCATCAGAGTGAGATAAAAGTGTCAGCAAAATAATAATTTCCCGACTTGGTATGATGGAGTAGCCAGTTGTCTGATTTTAACTCTTCATAATTACCTGACTTAAGTATCACTAAAATCTTTATATGTAAGACCACAAGAGCAAACACAATAAATTCTTAGGGCTCGGGGTTTATCTGCAAACAGCCAGGTATGGAATGAATATCTATTTTGGGTACTATGGGGAATAGAGAAGGATAAAACATGACCTTTGTGTCTAAGAAGCTAAAATCTAATTGCAATAACCAGAGCGTTTAAATTTGCTAACTGAAAAAAAAAGGGAGCAAAAGCCAATCTCCTTTCTATAGTTCTGACATGACAAATATTTAACATTTAAATGAGAAAAGAATAAGGCCTGTGCTATGCTTCGTTGCTTGGTAAATGTGTGCTTCCTTCACTTTTCAATGCTGGCTACAAATAGGGATAAAACTTTTTGTCATTTGTTTTAGATTAGTCATAGTGTGTACTGAGATGCAAATATAGCTGGCATAATTTATGACTAGGTAATTATATTTTGTCTTCATTGTAATAAATTTTATTTTAAAAATGTGTTGGCAAAACGGAAATAACCATGAGGAAAGAATCAAACACACTTTTTTTCATATCATATTTTCTTTCCATCTCAAAAAAAAGAAAGAAATTTTCCTCAATATTTAAAAACACAATGAGAGATTTAAAAAATGAAGTTTTTATTGCCAACAAGTAGCAAGCTCTGATGAGTTCAAATTACGTATTGAAGGCTTGATATTACTCACTTAAAATCCTGATGGTGATTATGACCATGTGATGTTTTGTTTTAGTTTCTTACATGGGTTTTAAATATGTTACAATTTTTAATTTTTAAATATGACTATCAGATATGATAAATAAGAAAATTTCTTATTTTCAGAATGTGCTTAAAAAGAGACTGATGATTAAAACCTTTTACTATTTCACATTAGGAAAGAAACCAAGACTTCCATGACAGTCCATTGTTCTTCTGATAGAAAAACTTTCAAAGTAATTTAATCCAGATACCAAAGTCCTATATTTCCTAGTTTAGAGTTGACAGAAGCACAGACTATTCTTCAGTTGGAATGGATGCCAGTGGTACTTAGTTAGAGTTACATGTGAGAAAGCTAAAAATCAGACAGTTTAAATAACTAAACCGTGTTTGTTTGGATTTACAGCCATGCCCCAGGATTCCCCAGCACATCCTGATTCATCATATTACCTGGTCACCATAATTCCTATTTAATTTTCTGTCTTTGACCATGCAAAAAAATCATTTTGTTTAGGGACAGAGCCAAACAAATCCTTTCCTTGGCTGAACTTGAATATGTGGTGCCACCTAGGACCCTAGAAAATCAGATTTTGCAGTCTGGTCCCATGACCTGAAAGAGTGGCTCTGAGGCTACTTTGTTCCATACCAACCGGATTTCCTTTCTTGATTCTGAGACTTTAGAAACAAGAGCAGCAGGTGAAACTATCCCCAGGTCACCCATCTACCTTCACTAAGCAAAGATCTCTTTTTGCACCTTCACAGTCAACACATTATTAAGTACAGTTATTAAATCTGCTGTGATCTCTGTGTAGACCTGGGGCTGCTTGAATGAATGGTGCTTTTGTGGCTGAGGTGTTGTGCTACAAGTTAGTTTCTTTTCTTTCTTTCTTTCTTTCTTTTTTTTTAGAGATAGAGTCTCACTTTGTTGCCCTTGGTAGAGTGTTGTGGTGTCACAGCTCATAGCAACCTCCAACTCCTGGGCTTAGGCGATTCTCTTGCCTCAGTATCCTGAGTAGCTGGGACTACAGGTGCCTGCCACAACCCCTGGCTATTTTTTATTGCAATTTGGCCAGGGCTGGATTCGAACCCACCACCTTGGTATATGGGACCAGTGCCCTACCCACTGAGCCACAGGTGCCACCCTACAAGTTAGTTTCAAATGAGCTTCAGGTAAAATTGCTGAGAGAAAAGCAGGCAGATTTAGTAACTGTTTAAATATTTCAGGCCTAATATTGTCTTACTTTTAAAATAACTACACATAATTATCTTTGGCATCAGCCTAATATAGATCAGGCATATAAATACATCAAGAGAGAATTAAGGCATTTGCTGAAACATGACTGCATTTCGCTTGGAATAGAGAAACTGCATGATGGTATGGTTATCGTTTAAATAAGACAGAGATCAAACCCGAAGTTAGACACATTTCAGCCTGAACCCCTCGCCCCCAACACAGATACTTGATTTTCTTTTTCTACATGTGTCTATTCCATAATTCTGCTGTGCTTTGCCCTTTTCTCTAATTTGGAGGCAGGTGCAGTGGGAGCTAAACTATGATAGTCATTACTGCAGCTTCCTTATTCAAGTTCTGATGAGTGGGTGGAGCTCCTCCACAGCCACTGGGGCTCAACACATCTTTTCTCCTCTGTCAACTTTTCCTCTCCAGGATCAATCTGAGCCTGTGGGTCCGTGGAGGGTAAACCATTTCTGAGTATTTTCTTCAATTATACTTCTAATTGCATTTGCTTTGTCACCCATAGGAGTACCAGGAAGCCTCCAATTTGGAACAATTTGTAACCCGATTTTTATTGAAGGAGACCTTGAATCAGCTGCAGTCTCTCCAGAATTCCCTGGAATGTGCCATGGAAACTACTGAGGAGCAAACCCGTCAAGAAAGGCAACTTGAAACTTTTCATATCATGTCCTTTTAGTGCCTCTGTTCATGAAAAACCAGTTGAGAGTCGTTGTACTTATACTATGCATTAGTGAAACTAAAAATGGAAATGGAGAGAGTGAAAAGGAAAGATGAGGACTTCCACTGGGAGCTTGTCTTAGAATTCGCCTCTAAAATGACCATTCCACATTTTCTATTACTGCATATCATTTATTCAGCAAATTTTAATTGAGGGTTTAGTAGAGGGATAAGCACACACCGGACAATGTAAGAATACATTAAACATAATGGCAAGCCTTAAGGAGAACTAATTTATTCTGTAACAGAAGGCATAACAAACTATACCACAGGTACAAAGTGGTGAATGCCATAGAGAAGGGGAAGTAAGTTGCCAGTGGATTTCAGAAGAGTAATAATAAGACATAGCTAGAGGGGTGGTAGTTAATTTCATGGAGTTCCTCTGGGATATTTGAGCAAATGGGTATAATTTGAAAATATGAAGTTGATGGGAAAGATTACAGACTACATGAACGTGGATAAAATGAGTAGACCTGAGAATTTGGTAAGCCTAATTATTCCAGGAAGTGAATGATAGAAAGATTTCAACATTTTAATGCCACTAATAGTTATCACTGAGAAGATAAGTGGTGACATTATAATAGATGCAAAAATAAAGACAGTAATGCTAAAGAGAAACCTACCTTAGACATGTGTAAAGCACACATCAAAGTAATCCTAGCCAACAGTTGGTATGTTCTTGAGTTATCATTGTTTACACCTCGCCAGTTAGAAAAGGGCTTGGCAAAATTCTTGCTCTTATGCCATGTTTTGGCTGATGTGTTACTTTAAACTTATGCTTGTGCTTTATCTAACTTTTGCATTTTAAATTAGAGAGAACCACACAGTAAATTTTTTGAAGAAGCTGGTAATAGACTACATTTTAGGAACAATTTTTCTAAACAAATTAAGGGATGCATAATTATTAGGACATCTCTAAAAAACAGTGGAATTTTCCACCATGTGTTTACAATGTCAAAATGAATGAGCACCACCAAATTCTAACAAAAGAGCCTATAATTCCAGAACCTAATGAGACTGTGCAGCTGAGGAACACAGGGATGGACTGACTCTTCAATGGATCTGGGAGGCATTTCTCACATTGTAAACTTTCTATTTTCGCTGCATTCAGTGATGCCATTTCAAATGGCAAAGTGTAACAATTAGCTTTAGAAAAGCTACAATTCACCCAGGCCCTGAGGTTGAACAGAGGATAAATGGAATGTCTTCAAGCACAATGCAATTGATTTCATGTTCCTAATGAGAAAATGAGGCCTGTTTTCTTGTTTCTTTTGTTTAGAAGCTGTGGTAATAAAACAGGTTCTCCTCCTTTTGAATCAATCACTTTCCACCTGAGAAGAGGCTTGGAAAAGCTCTCTACTTCCCCTGGTCCTGCACTTTGGTTTTTCTGTAGCTGCCTCCTGCAAACTTTGGTTTTTCTGTAGCTGCCTCCTGCAAACTTTGGTTCTGCACTTAACCACCATCTAGAGAAAGTTTAATTGATGACTGTTCTTTGTGTTAGGCCACAGGCTACCCTTGAAATCTGTGAGTGCTGCCAACAGCTGCCTTGCAGCTGTGTTTTATGAGAAGAAGCATGACAATACAGAGTTTAAGAAAAGCAGAAGATGCTAGAAGGTTAATGAACCTTCTACTTCTGGATTTCAAGCTCAAAAATAACTTGCAATCCTGAGAAGTATAATCGGTCTGATGTCAGTTTATGTGTGCTTTTGCATGGCACTGACCAAGGCACCCAGGGATGCCCATATCTCACCTCAAATCTGTGACACTCCTTTCTGAGAGGTTTGGGGGGAGGGGGAACATAAATAAGCGAACAGAAAATAAGATACCACTATAGGTTTATGCCTTCAATTTCCAGTGTGAAGTCTCTGACAAACTGGACTGAAGCACATGACGTAGGCCCACATCGAAAGGGGCTGTGTTTCCTCTCCCAAAGCTACATCTTCCTATCACCTGGCTGCCAAAAACCAAGTGAGGGACCCTCAGGACCCTCACCAATGAAGAAAAGACAGAGAGAGAAGGTTATCCCTTTCCCATGAAAACAATCAAGACACCAGAGAAAAAGCCTACAAAGAGATGACATTTGAACTGGACCATCAGGATGGATTTGAATGGCAGGATAATGTTTTCTCTGAAGGGTTCTGTCTACTCACTCACCCCATTTTACTCATCTCGAATCTGGCTAACATCTAGTTTGGACACTGATGGGACAGTACAGTATCTAGGAAGCTTTTACTGCACTCAAACCAAGGCTTCATACTTCCCACTTCACTGCCATGTACTCCCTGAGCGCCCTCTACTTTCTATCCACTTGTCTCAGCCCCTTCCTTGTTTATCTCTAAGGTGGAAAGCCTATTATATACTTGTGCCTTCTTGCCTCTCCTGACAACAACAATCTCCTCCATCAGATGTTGAGTTTCTAGATAATAGGGATTTTGTGTTGTTCCCCTCTGCTTAGTACAGCTACTTGTTAAATGCATGAAACTGGATGAATGAAAAAGAATTCCAGGTAAAGAGAATGCTATAGAGGAACAGTAAGTGAGGACATGGAACATGAGGAGACCAATCTATCTACCTGGCATCTAATGTTCAGAAAGATCTTAAAAGCTAGACAGATGTGTTAGGACTTAATTCTATCAGAGATTGTCATTGGTGGTTGTAAACAAAAGAACAATAAAATGAAAACAAGGTTTAAGGAAAATACTATGTAGGTATGTAGATTACATTTAAGGAAGATGGGGACAGGCTCATAGAGGAGAGGTCGAATTGGTATCTCCAAAAATTCATCAGTTTTTTAAGTTCTAAAGGAAGATCCTATGAAGCCCTGCATAGGCGAGACTTGTAACCTGCAGATATCATTAAAATTCCCTGGGTCATAATAATTTGCACTCCCTTCAGCATCAAAATTACTGAATACTAAATACTTTGGGATTTAATTTTTATAAATCCTAGAGATACAAAAACTCCTTGGGATACAGAAAATTTAGAGAAGTCATCTATTCCATCTATCAGCCCTAGGGCAGAACCACACAGTATCACTCATCCTGCAGTAATGAGTTAGATATGCCATGCTGGGCAAAATGTCTGTGTCTATTCATGTGAAAAAAGTTATTCCAGAGAGAAGGGATGTGTACAGCTGGCATGCCACAGAGGTGGGATTTTTCAGATGGCATTCTATAATGCTCTTTGTATCTGTCCTGGCAAACTGACTAAATGGGGGTCACTTTAATCCCATGTCGTTTGAAAGCACCTAATAGCCAATGACAAGAATAATCATTACGTTATCCTGAAGTTTCCCTGTAGAGGACCCCTGTCCTCTTGCATAAACCTCTTCTTCAGAAACTAGATTTCTAGGAACATAGTTTTAATTATGTGCAGATTTCCTTTTTATAATGGAATCTGAGAGTTTGCTCTATTATTCAGAGTCCTTCTATAGCCAAGGATATAAGTGATTCCTTCTGGACTTGAAGTTATTTTTCTTCTTCTGACCGCTATCCATCATGGAAGGAAAGATTTTAATTTCAGATGATTATAAAAGACAGTTTATGATTCCTTAGCTTGAACATAGATAAGGACTACTCTAAGTACCTACTCCTGTGACTACCAAAGTTTCTAGACAGTTGGGATTTTTTTATGCCATAGGAAAATCCATAAGGAAGTTTGGTTAACAACTGGAGATTAAACATGTATAATTTCTTTTTCTCTCTCCCCAAAGCCTTAAAAGAAATGACATTAAAAGTGTCTGGCTAAGAGAACACATCAAGTCCTGCCCAAAATTACAAGGATAAATGAAGAGCCAAAGGGACAAAAACTTAGAATCAAAAAAAAAGAAAAAAAGAAAAAGAAAAAATGGGAATCTAGTGGAAACTAATTTAGAAGCTCAGAGAAAGCTGGAACTTAAGCAGGCAGGGCAAGAAGCCAAGGTGCAGTGCAGATGGTATCACAGAACCTCAGAAAACCTCAAGAATTGGCTGCACTACATGTAACTGTGAGTGAGGGTGAAGGTAGAGCTGAAGTATTGTTCAAAGCTCCACCTAATCCTGGAAGAACCAGAGGTGAGCTTTCTAGAGGTGAGCAGGTATACACAGGCACAACTAGTGGTCAGGGCACAATGCTAAAAAACAAAACATTAAGTGAAGTCTGCGTATTGATCAGTGAGTATGAAATCACCTTAAAACACTCTACCCCCAGAGTATTGACAACTGGGCTCATACCCTTCAGTTGGGATATGCTTCTCTGAGGGATGTGATCAGTCCAAGAGAAAAGACTTAACAGTGCCAGTGGTCAGGGTGTCCCAATAAATAGGCCCAGCCACGCCACTCAACCATAGAAGCTGCAAGCTGATAATCCCCACCACACCCAGAGAGGTTCCAATCAGACTTGTAGTTCCTTCTCTAAAATGTGTAGAGGTCAAACAAATCAAACACAAGAAAAGAAATTGAAAAGAAACAGAAATAACACACAGAGCAGGAAAAAAAATCTTCAAAAAAAAATGATCAATAATTTCAGAAATCTAAGAGAAAGTATTGCATTTATGAATTAAGGACAGGATGCTATTTCCATAAAAAGGGTATTGAAACACACACAAGAGGTCTTGTAAATTATAAGTATGATTGCAAAAAGTGAAATTCTCTGAGCAAAGTTTAGATATAAAAGTGTGATGAGATCTCTATAAAGAGAAAAAAAAAACAGGAAAGAATAAGAAAACTAAAGGGTCAGTTCAAGAGGTCTAATATTTGTAAAAAGCAATTCCAGAAAGAGAACAAGAGAGGAAAATTATCAAATGAATAATTTAAGAAAAATTTTCAGAACAAAAGCATGAGTTTCCAGTTTGATAAAACAGAGCAAGAGTCCATGGTGAGGACCAGTAAAATCCAACTCCAAGGCATGCCATTATAAAATTTCACAACACCGGTGACAAAGGCAAGTCCCAGAGAGAAAAACTAGGTCATATGCAAAGAATTAAGAAAACACTAGATTTTTTAGTAGTGTTTCTGGAAGCTGGAACAAAAATGGAACAACTTTTTTTTTTTTTTTTTGAGACAGAGCCTCAAGCTGTCCCCCTGGGCAGAGTGCTGTGGCATTACAGCTCACAGCAACCTCCAACTCCTGGGCTCAAGCGAGTCTCCTGCCTCTGCCTCCCAAGTAGCTGGGACCACAGGCACCTGCCACAATGCCCGGCCATTTTTTGGTTGTAGCCGTCATCGTTGTTTGGTGGGTCTGGGCTGGGGATTCGAACCCGCCACCTTAGGTGTACGTGGCTGGCGCCCTAGCCAGTTGAGCCACAGGCGCCGAGCCAGGAACAACTTTTTGAAATGATTTGCAACTTAGAATCCTTTACACCATGAACCATCGATAAGGCAGGTATTTATACATGCGAAAATACACAAGAATTTTACCTCTCATTATATACTGTTTCTTATTAATCAATAGGAGAGATTTTCCACCAAAACAAAAAAGTCAACTAAGGAGAAAATCTAATAAAGGGGATAAGGAAGGTAATCTAACCTAGGAGAAAGGCTAAAGGAATCTTCCCTAGATGATAGATGATAAAGAAAAATTGGGGGATGAGTAAATTAGTACTACATTTGACTGCCTATCATTGAAAAAAAATACAGTGGCTTAAACCCATAAGAGCTTATTATCCCCTATAAAGAAATCTGGTGGGGAGCAGCTTAAGTCAAGTATGACACCTTCACAGATTTATCATTGACTTTCTGTGCTGTTCACCTCTTAAGCGCATCTCTTCCATTCCCAAGTTTACCTCAGGCCCAAGGTAGTTGTTGGAGTTCCAGCTATCATGTCCACATTTCAGCCAGGAAAGAAGAATATTAAAGACAAAAGGGATCCCTTCAACTTGAATCTGTCCTTTTAAGCAGCCCTCCTGGAAGTTCCTTATAACATTGCCATTGGCCTGAGCTTTTCATATTGGCAAGTTAATAGGTAAAGCCTAAAACTAAAAATAAAGGGAGAAGCCATGTAAACATGTTATATAATGTAAATACCTGCTAAAAGTGTTGCCTTTGTGAAATTGAAAAAAGGGTATAATATAACGGTTAGAGGAGTGAGCTGCTAAAATAAGATTTGTGGAATTATTTGACTTTTAAAAATATAAGGATGAGGCTCAGCACCTGTGGCTCTAGCGCTAAGGCGTCAGCCACATACACCAGAGCTGGCAGGTTCGAATCCAGCCCGGGCCCACCAAACAACAATGACGGCTGCAACCAAAAAATAACCTGGTGTTGTGCAGGTGCCTGTAATCCCAGGTACTTGGGAGGTGGAAGCAGGAGAATCACTTGCGCTCAGGTGTTGGAGGTTGCTGTGAGCTGTGATGCCACCGCACTCTACCCAGGGCAACAGCTTGAGGCTCTGTTTCCAAAAAAAAAATATATATATATACACACACACACACACACACATATATATATATGATATATATATATGGATGTATAGCTCTGATCAAAAAATTAGAAAGCTGAATTATAGGAAGAAAATCTATGGGTGTTTTCAACTTAAACAAAAGATTATAGCAGCATACACATAAATGTTTTTACTACTTATGGTTGACCAATAAAGGAAAGAATCCTTTCTTATATTATGATTTTTACTCAGACTTTAAATTTTAAGAATAAAAAAATGTCCAGAATTGTCTTCCTCAGGTTCACACACACAGGTACCAAATTACTCCAGTTTCTAGAGCATGTTTGCAAGCAGATTTATTCTTGGAAGTTTTCATTTCCCTACACAAGAAAACCTTTGGGACTGATGCTTGAAGATTTGCTCCTGGGGGCTAAGACTGAAGTGCTGACATTGAGGTTAAGTGTTATCTCTGTTGTTCAAGGCAAGGGCCAACCAAGCCAGAAGTCCTGTCAATTCAATGGCCTGGGAAACGATCAAGCCGCAGAGTCCAGAGACATAACAGCTTTTCCCCTAACAGCCCACAGTTCAATGTCAGCGGTCCAGGTAACACAGCCTTGGTTATTTTTCTTCATCAAAGTCAATTCATCTTTGCATTTTCTAATGGATTATTTTAACAAACAGCAGCTAAGATAACAATAATAATGGAACACTTTCCTTATGTTAAATAAGTTTGAAATTGAAGAGATGAAGAGTGTAGGGTATGAAGAACTCAGGCCGTGGTCCTACCCCTCAGCACCATCAGAATCCTTGCAGTTGTGCCTGGGGCAGCCCACAGAAAGATGGTGAACAGGGGAGAAAGCAGCTCTATTAGCTAACGTCCAAAGACTTGAGCTCTGTAGACCTCTTCATCATCTTGAAGCAAAGGGGTTTCTTTTAGACTATGCTCTAATATGCTCTAAATCTCCATGCCTCCCTAAGCATACCCTAAATTCATTTAGAAAAAGGATCCTTGTTTTCATGATAGGAGTAGCAAGGCTGGTGTTTTTGACGTGTGTAATATAATGTATGATTTACAGGACTGAACCTTACTAATAATTGTTAGGTTATTAAATTTTAACTGTGTCTTTATAGGTCTTTTAAAATCAGTTTTCAATATGCAAACTCTTGTTGCTAAGCATTGGAAAATTTTTATAAAGCATACATATACACATGCATATAAAGCATACATATACACTTGAACGTATTCTACACAAATAAATCTTTATAAATCTAACGTCATAAAATGAAAGTACTAACTATATCCTATATTTACACCAGCCATACTTCAGAATCCTTTCTTGAATATAGCCTCATTTTATCCTAATACCTTATAAGATAAATGTTTAGCTTCCCTATTTCCCCACTTCACTAGCGAGGAAGCCACAGCCTGAAAATCTAAGTGGCTTTTCCATAGTCATATGGAATATTAGTCCATTTTCCATTTTCATTGTGAAATAGCCTTAAAATTGGTGGTTACAATTGCAGATATTTGTTTTCCTTTCTCGTGAGTCCCCGGCTATTATGATTTGGGCATTTTCAGCTGGACAAGGCTATAGGCTGCGTATAGACTTCAGCTCTCCTCACATAGCCTTCTTTTGGGACAAGTGGACACTGAGCATCTTCTTCTCCTGGTGGGTGTCAGAAGTCCAGGAAGCCAGGCCAAAATTACACAAGCACATTAAGAGCCATTGTTTTAGGCACTGTATGCATCCTGCCTGCTAACTTTCCATTGGCCAAACAAGTCACATGCCAAGCATAGTAACAGTGGGAAAGGAAATAGCACTTCCCCTGTTACTGTAGTAGGTGGTACAGTCAACTCGTGGGCAAAAGGTATACACATATACTTCTATACTGGAGGAAAGTGTAGACTTGGGAACAATAATATAATCTCCCACATGACAGGAAAATGACAATACTAGGCTCCCAAGGCAAAATATAGCTTGTTCTTTCCCTTTTAACCATTTAGAAAAGAGTCTTAGTCCCAAATATCCTTCCTAAGAACTTTGATCTGATAGCCACCTTGCATCTTACATTGAATCTGCTCAGATTGGAAATATATTAACTAATTTGTGAATTAATTATTTACATTACTTATTAATGTAAATAAACTTATTTATACATTTATAACATTTTATTCAGCCTCTTTCTTTTCTTTCTTTCTCTTTTTTTAAAATCATAGCCACTTCTTTGTGGCAGAGCTTTTGCTCATTTTTACATTATAATTTATTTTGTGGGCTTTGAGAGGTTCTTCCCCCAAGAAGACAGATGGCGGAGTGAATTGTCATGTTCAATACTACCCGTTTGTAATTTAGAGCTTACCTTTATTGCGTTCAAAACTAACGCATGGCTTTATTAAGTCTTGAATTCAATCCCATCCACATTTTAAGAAATGTTAAATAATATTACTTCAACAAATGGCTGTGGAAACATTTTAAATAAGCCTCAGTAAAGGATACACAAAGATGGCAGGATGTGTGGGCAGGGGCTAAGACTCTAACTCTGCTTTTTCCACCTTTGTATAATATTAATAACAACTAATTATAGCAGCAGAATGTACATAATGTTTGTCGTGGTGCTAGATACACACATACATACACACGCATACAGCTATTCTACATGCATGTATATACATGTGTGTATATGTCACATATACTAACATAAGTCCAAAGGCTGTAGTCTGCACTCTTAGCCACTGCTCCATGCCTGCAGCATCCAGATGTACTCAAGTCCCTGGGAAAGGAGACACCTCATGCCCTTTTGCCTTGTAGCTGTTTCTACCTTCCTGTGGTCAGGGGTATTGTTTCACTGGCTCCTGCCACTGCCCTACAGGTAAGTTTAGAATTATTGATTGATGCATTCCTTTTTCAAGAGAAAACCAACTACCTTATGGGGTTTGTGAATGGCTCAGCAGGATATTTTCTTTTGAATATCAAAGGGCAGACAGGCAACAACAGACTGTGGAAATGATCCCACTAGAATGCATCGACCCACGGAAATCAATAACTTAGAAAGTGCTCATGTAAATACATTTCAAAAATGTGTTGACTAGTCAATGACACTGCATCCTTCCTTTAGGGTAAAAGAAAGTTCTGAGATATCCAAGCATTTCTACTATTCTAAGTTTAATAGGTACCCTTGTGATTTCTGCTTCTGCACCCCCTCCAGGCTTATTAGAAGAAGACAACCAGTGGACAACTCAGATAAATAGACTTCAGAAATTAATTGATAGACTGGAAAAGAAGGTGGGTACTTCCTTTTCTTTGTTCTCTCTTCTATTTTTCAAGATATTCTGACTCGATATTGCTCATTTCCTCCCTATCCATGACAGCCCCAGAGATAGAGAATAGCCATGATCTCATTAATCCTACACAGGGTTGCCTGGTAGGTAGTTATTTGGGATTTTGTTGTTATTACAAAAGCAAACACAGTTAATTCTTCCCTCACCCCATCCTCCTGCTCCCAATTATATTTAAAATAGGATGTAGGGTTAAGAGTTAAATAAGTCTACTGCACTGCCTGGTTCTTTGGTTATCAAGCAACCCAAGTGGCAGTGAGCTTGAATGATGCTGATGGCAGCTCTTTATTGGTTAAAGTCTTGGGAATATTTCAAATAAATTCAGGGAAATAGCAGTGCTATCTAAAAGATAAGATTCCACACTCAACTCTTAGAAATTAGCATTATAACTGATGATTTTGCCATTAAAACTACCTAGTGAACAAGCAAGTTAGGATGTGAGTTTAGAATTATATTTCGTGCTCCTAATTATCATATTTTGATTGTCTAATTCAGTAGTTCCAAGTAGTCCTGATATTATAATGATTTTTCCCATATACAACTTTGATGGTGGAGGCAACCTTCATCAATCAACAAGAAATGTGCTTGTGAGACATCAAGGAAAGAACGTTTATGTTTGAGACAGGGTCACTGATTTTGAAGAATCTAAAGTCTACTTATAAAAATAAACTATGTTCTTTTTGAGAGAAAAAGAGTGTGTTAGATCTTTAAAAAAATTATATATATATTCAGAAAACCTAAATTTTCTCAGTAAATACTAGCTGACTGAGATGTGCTAAAGAAACAGAGCAGGTGCTAAAATCTATAGATGCTCACCTGCTCAGCTGGGGGTACGATCACTGTGAGCTGAGATGCTCAGGAAGGACTTCATATGGCAGGAAGAGTTTAAGCAAGGCCTTACCAATGGTAACTCAATTAAAAATTTGATGGTAAGCAACAAATCACTTATCTAAATTAATAAAAGCTCCCACAGAGTCAACACATACTCTAGAGACCTGAATTGAGGAAGTCAGGAAATAACTCTGGAGATCTGGAAGGTGAGAAATACGCACCCATTTCTTGGTTTACCTCCACTGGAATAAATGAGTACCAGCTATTTCCAGTCTGTTGGCTTCTACTCAAGATTCCAGGAGGGAGAGTCTGGTTGGTCTTGTTAGGGTCACCTGCTGGCCTCTTGGATAGAAGGGGGGGATACCTTGATTAACCATCCCAGAGAACAGTATTGAAAGAAGAGATAATTTATGAAATGAAAATGTATTGTCATTACAGTGGGCATAAATGCTGATTAACTAACACACTAAACCCAAAATCAATATTTGCAATAAAGAAGTAAAGTTTTAGCAAATAGAGAACAACTGGAAAGGGCATTCAGTGAGGTGATGGCATGAACAAAAGTTAAGTAGATCAGCTTGGGTAAGAGTCTTGCATTTAGGGAAGTAGTGACAATAAGGTTGCATGGACAGATGGGGCCAGGTCGTGGATGGCCTTAAATAGTAGGCTAAGGCATTTGGACTTGGTCTTGGCAACAAGAGGCTTTTATTATTTTTCAACAGGTAAGTGACAAACCAAAGGATCCTGCAGATATAATACAAAATTGAGCAGCAAGATACAAAGCAAATTAAAATGAATGTAAAATGCATTAACACAAGGAAAAACTAGGCTCAGAACCATTAGCACCAGCTCAAATATTGAAGAGCAGGTTTGTGCCCCTGAATCAGGTATAGCAAGAGACAGGCCTGCACCAAGGTAGTGAGTAAGAAGAAAATAGCAGATTGGAAAAGGGCTCGCGGAATCAACACATAGTCTAGAGACACAAATTTAGGAAAAGTCAAGAGACTTTTAACAGCATCATTGAATGGGTATGGTGGACCAAGGACAGGGAGAACTGCAATGACAGACTGAAGATTTGAGCCTCTGTGTCTGAAATGGTTATACCCTTAACAGAAAAAGGAGCAACACAAGTGAGAGAGAATTAGTGAGGTGAGGTGAGAAGGTGAATGGGCTATACAAGGACACATTAGCAGAAATCCCCAGTCAGATGTTAGTAGGGAGAGGTCTGGCCAACAGGTAAAGGCCTTAAGAACCATCTCCACAAAGATGAACTATGAACTTCAAGTCCTGAGGATGGGTTAAGTCTCTGAAAAGGAGATTGTTGTAAAGAAAAGCCAAGTGAAGGAGAAACAACCCTGGGAATTTCCAGTTCCTCTGCCATCCTGTTTTTATTTGTTAAATTTACATTGTCTACTTACTAGATAGTAGAACAAATACCAAAATTATAAGCTTGCTGCAAATCAGCTTTCTTCCTTTCTTATTTTGTTAATTGATATGTGAGCTCAGACAAAAAAATTCTCAGGAAAATAGTGACTGTGACTATGTCTATTAGTTTTCTAATGTTGGAAGCCAGGGAAATGCAGGACTCTTCTAAAGCTGTTAGGACATATGGAATCAGGCGTTAAATAAGTTTGAATTCACTTAAAGAACACAAATATCTCTTTTTAAAGTGGTTTTGAGATTCTGGACAAAACGTTCTTTGCTATCTGAAATCTATATAGTTATTTTTAAAGGAATGGTTCAAACTTAGGCCAGGCCTATTTTCCCCCAACTTTAAATCAAAGTATTGTCGCGTATCTTTCTTTCCTCGTCATTTTTCTCCCTCCCTTCTATGAAAGGGTTTCATTTTAAGACCATGTCTAGGAGATTTGCTGAAAGTACAATGTGATGGTTTTCAGCAGGTAGGCTTTAGCTATGTGGAGCTCAGCAGGAGCTGTCTTAATGAATGGAAAAGCAGTGTGAGTGGAGTTTTCTTCTACAACTTATTCTGTATTGTGCTGAATTAGATTTACAGAGAAAAAAAAAGTAACCAATTGCCAAACAGTGACTCAGTGGATGTCATTTCACTGCTGACTACCTTGTCTCCTGGAGTTGTGAACACAGGGTTTGATCTCCTCATTAAAAGGAGGCGCCGCCTGTGGCGGAACTTATGTTATCTGTTATCTCCATTAAGTATTTATGATAAATCCTTCCTGCACTGTAAACTGAACCTGATTCTATTCATTGGGGAGAAAATGACACTTGTAATTTCTACAAGTTTCTTCAGATATGCCTTCTATTGATCCCAACCCCCATGAATATTTATGGGGATCTACTGAGGTTTTATCTGATGCTTTGCTTGATCCTGCAGGACACACCTTCAATGTTCAAAAGAACACGAACAGAAAAAAGTCTTCGTTCTTCATGAAGTCCTCAATTCATCATCAGATCACAGGACATTCTTGTTGGAAGGGATATAATTCAGGATGCCACACTCATACAACTTGTTTTACATTTTCTTACATTTTTCTTACCTTAGATTGGGAAAGGGAGAACTGAAAAGTGCACCTGAGTTAGTGTCAGAAACACAGTGGTCAAGGAGATTACTAAGTTACAGTTCCTTTATGTGGAGCACTTTTTAGTTTCCAGTTCACATCTATCTGCATTTTACATAATTTTACTTTCATGGAAAAGCTGTGATTTAGAGGGGGCCTTGATTCAGCCACTCATTTAGTCAACACTGTTGAGTAAATATGGGTCAGGTACTCTTCTGGCAGTGGGGATATAGCAATGGCCAAAACAGGTAACATCTTTGGTATCTAGAGAGACAGAACAAAAATCAAGTAAACAAATCCATGAAACAAGATACTTTCAGATGATGAAAAGTGCTATAAAGAAGTAGGGCAATTTGATGGAGATTGGGGGGTGAGGGGCTGAATACTCAGAGTGGTCTGGGAAAGTCTCCGTAAACGGGTGGTATCTGAATTGGGAGTTAAAGATGAGAAGAAGACAGCTAGATGAAGACCTAGGGATACAGAATTTAAGGCAGAATGAACTGTAAAAGTGAATCCTACAGAAGTTAAATAACTTGCTGAAAGTTCCATCACAACGTAACAGCACAGCTGAAGCAACACAGCTCTATTATTAACAGGCTTATGTTATCTCAGACAATCTGGATTTCGACAGCTTTCAATTTATTTTTTATCTATTTAAGGAATTATTATGCATAATCTTCACTTGGAAGAAATAGTAGGATATATATTCACCAAACGAAATTCTCAGAGAGTACATACTCAGTTTCACTGGGGATGTTAGTGTTATCCATTGGACTTCACAGAAGATGCTAAGGTGTTTAGAGGAATCCTTCATTTTTAGTGAATATCGATCAGATTTTCATTTATTTTTTAATTTGCTATTTAATAATGCAAAATTGGTGCCAGAATGCAAATGTAATATAACAATAAACTAGTATTTATAATGATCTCTCCCAAAATGTAGAAATGTGGCAATACTCAGAGTAAAATAAATGAGACTGTTAGGCCTGGCCATTTAAATCGCCCTATCCTTCCCTTTTCTGTTTTAATGTATCTCTGTCCTCCGGTTTGCTCTATAATGGTACCAGTGAAGGAAATTCTAAAGCAATAACAAACTGAACATATCAAAAGAGCTCCTTACAATTGATAAGTGGTTACAAAGAATCTTCGTTAGAATAGCTCAATTTTTTTTTGTTTGTTTTTGAGACAGAGTCTCACTTTGTCACCCTAGGTAGAGTGCCACGGCATCACAGCTCATAGCAAACTTAAACTCTTGGGCTTAAGTGATTCTCTTGCCTCAGCCTCCCCAGTAGCTGGGACTACAGGCACCCACCACAATGCTTGGCTACTTTTTAGAGACCAAGTCCCTCTCTGGCTCAGGCTGATCTCAAACCTGTGAGCTCAGGCAATCCACCCACCTCAGCCTCCCAAGTGCTGGGAGTATAGGCATGAGCCACTATGCCTGGCCTTAAATAGCTCAATTTTTTAAAATCAGTTATTTATCTCCTTTCAGATAATGAGGTTGATTCAGTATCAGCCATGAAAAGCTGGGTATGGCGGCTCATGTCAGCAATCCCAACACCTTGGGAGACTGAGGAAATATGAATATGTATAAGACATGAAAGAATTATTGGAATATATGGTATTTTTAAAATTTAAAAAATTATCTAATTTCTGATTCTGTCTGCCACTTTTTCTAATTGAAGGACCTCAAACTTGAACCATTGGAAGAAGAAGTTATTGAAGAGAATACTAAATCTGTAAGTACTTTTTCCAGGTCAAAATTTTAGAAATGTATTTTGTGAAACCTGAGTTAATCTCTCCAAAAATTAGTTACTATATCCATGAAAAATTGAAAACATAAGTAGACAAATTTCATTTTGCATAGCTAAGTAGTGTTTGCTAAATTGTGATGTGTAAACCTGATACCTACTTTACAGGGCATGTAATAGGTGCAAAATGAAGATTGATTTTATGCACGTATAAATGAGTGCATGATTAACTAATTGAATGAATACTACTGGCAATATGAATGATAATTCATATTGTGTCATAAACACATTTTGTAAACCCTGCTATGTGGAGTTCTGTATATACTTGAGCTGAAACCTGGTTCTATTCATTTTGTATTTTCAGCATTTAGCCTAGGGCCAAGAACATTGTAAATGCTCAGAAATAATTTTTCAAAGGATAAATTGATGTTTAGAGAAAAGGGAGCATTTATATCCCTAGGGAAAAGATGTCCAACCAGAATGGTAGCAATTTATAGAAACTGAAAGAAAATGGACAAAGTGACCTTAGATGAAGATACAACAAAAAGAAATGGGTGTAGAAATTAATTGAAAATCAATATGCACCATGCTTTGTTATTTTCCTTTATTTTGATGCAAATATTTATGGCACATTCTGTTTTAGGAAATTGGATGAATACATTTGCATTTAGTGGAAATTTGGCTTTTAAAATCTTGTGTCCTATAGAAATCATTTTTTTCTTATTATCTTAAAAATGTACTATGTACTTCATAGATGTTGAAGGATGAGTCACATTTACATGAAACAAAGATAGGAAATAGCTTTCATCTCTGAATCACGGACTTATTTCCCCAAGCACTGACTACACGATAAAAGAAGGTGAGACCCACCCATGTGCCAGGCTCTTGCCCATCTGTCCAAATTCATAACACAAAGTGGATCTTCAGATAAAGCCTTGGGGGATTCTCAGAAAAGTTTAGTAGTGGCTATGACCATCAGAAGACTAGTTAGGCACACTTCACCCTGCTATAAGCCATGTTTTTCACTATGTGTTTAATTCTCTTATTCCTCCAAAAACAAGATTATAGTCTGTGTTAATTTATCAGGAATCCAGAATTTTAAGTGGTAGGTAGATGTTGGTGGGAAGTGAGACAAGAGAGGGTGTTGAGCACACGTACTTGGAACAGTAGATTTGCTCAGTCCCAGAGGTTCAGTCAGGGATGGCTAACCTCGTGATCGCATATCTGTTATAGTTGATAGGTTTGCATGTAGGAAAAACTATACCATGGTAAAAGGAAAAAAGAAAGAGAGAGGAAGAAAGAAAGAAACAACATAACTTTTCAAATGTTGTGAGAGATGATTGTTTATTCTTACATGATTTTCTAATGTGAGACTATTTTCTCTCTCTAGCTACGAGGAAGGAAAATTGTCTGAGGATTCTTTGGGAAAAATAACAGCTATTCCATTTGCTGGTCCCTGACCAACCAATGCCAATCCAAATTTTAAAAGATCCATATACACAACATTATGAATTTAATAGTGCATAGAAGTACTTAAACAAATGACATTAGGCCAAGTGTTTCGGTTGTCAATCATGTTTTAAAGCAAGAAAGGATATTCCTTAACTATTTTCAACAAAGCATAGAGATTAAATAATTATGCTGTTTTGAGTAGACATATAGTAATGATTTGAACTGGTTTGTTTTCTCAAAAATACCAGTATTATATTTGTCATTGAAAATTTTGTATTTTCAAAAAAATAAAATAAAAATTGTATAATGGCAGTACGCTCATTACTATCAATTCCTATGACACCTCCTATCCAGAATGGCCAAACCTGCTTTCCTCCTGTTATTTCATGGCTATTGCTTATAATATGATCCTACTATAGGCTGAATGATTAGTTTTAGAATTTGTTGCCTACGGAGGTATTTTTCCTTTTCCATAACTGAATGCATGAGAACTTTGAAAAAGAAATTCTGCATCAGAAAGTGAAGAATAAATTCTTATTGCACTTGGTTTTTAAAATTCTAACCTTTACTGAGCCTTGGCTATACACCAAGTGTACACATATATATAGCTCACTAAATCCTCACAATAGCTGGATGAGTTGGTGCTATTCTTATTCTACAGATGAGGAAATTGCGGTGTAGAGAGGTTTAATACCCCAGCTGGAGGCCCTGAAACGCAACCCTGTGCTCATTATCCCACACTAACATTTCCACCTTTAGTGTTTGGTGGATTTTTGGCCACTAAAGTATAGCTGCTCTTTGTAAGAGAGGTTGTGGACCAGTGGGCAACTGTTTCTTGAGATTTTCTATTGTAAGAGCAGAGGAGATTATCTGGTAGGTTTGTTTAAGACTACACCCAAAGTCCTGAGCTCTCCCAGCTGCTATGCCTCGTTTGGGCAATGAGCTATGTCACAATGATGAGACTAGGATGTGATTACCTTTCTAAGTTCACGTTGTTTTCTCATCTCCAGAGTGTAAGAAGTAACATTTATTTGGTACCTATCACGGACTTTATACACACTTTACATATTTTATTTAATCACCCCCAAAACTCTGATATAAGTACCACTATTCTAATTTTATGTATCAGAAGAGTTAGATGAAAAAAATAACTTGTTAAAGGCCACATAACTAGTGAACATGAACCTAATTCTTTTTACTTTCTATCCATTGCTCTTGAAGGAGAAAGAAGAAAAGAAATAGAGGATAAGATGATGGAGATAGTTACAGGAGGCCCTACCTAATGAGTGTGCAGTGTTCTAACATCTTCAGGGCCACCTCAAGTCCTCTTTAGAAATGAATAAATATGGCTGGGCATTGTGGCGGGCGCCTGTGGTCCTAGCTACTTGGGAGGCTGAGGCAGGAGACTCGCTTGAGCCCAGGAGTTGGAGGTTGCTGTGAGCTGTGATGCCATGGCACTCTACCCAGGGGGATAGCTTTAGGCTCCGTCTCAAAAAAAAAAATGAATAAATAAATAAAATGTATTAAAGGAATTCTAAGAACAGTCAATGGCTAAAATCAAGAGCATCTTTAATGTGTCTGTTCTACAAATAACTTGATCACCAGCTGTGCACCAGGCTTGGAGAGAGGGTCTGGCAATAAAGCAGTGACTATTACAGGCTAGAAAGCAGACTAGAAGGAAATTAACAGGGAATGTGGTGAGGTTTAATAAAGGAAAGTGTAGATTTACACAACAAGAGGACACAATCTAATTTAGGGGACCAAGGCATTCTTCCAGAATGACATACTGTAATATTTAACATAAAACCAGAAAGAACAAGTAGGAGTTAAAAAAAATAACATTCATATGCATATCTCTTACTATATTGAATTGTTCTGATATTACATTAAAAGAACGCAAAGATGCTACCTTGAAATATTAAAATGTTTCACATGATATATAACAAGCACATTATAAAGCAACTTTAGGGATTTACAATTTTATTCTTGCTGCAATAAAATAGAAAATAAAGATACATAATAAAGATACAGGGACAAATCCTGATCTAAAGTCTGAGACCATGCCTTTGTGACTCATTGGAAATTTGGAGATAATTTACTGTCATCTAGCTGTCAAGTACCAAGCAGTGGGTATGAATCATAGAAAGGTCAATGTAATTTTTGAAAGGAATTGCTCCAACCAGAGCACACACCCTGAGTGTAACCAAGTATATAAATCCACCTGAATCCTTTTTGCTGGTGTCACTGTGTGTATTGAATGGCTCTTCTTACCAAAAGACTACTGGAATAGGATGACCACTTTCTAGATATTTTCTCCATTCAAAAGGAGTTTTTTTAAAAGTCATGATAATTTTAAATAAGGGCTGAGCTTTTCAAAAACTCTCCACTTTTCTTCAGCACATTGCTGTAGACACTAAGTAGCTTATCATACAAGAGGTGTCTACCACTCTAATATCTTTCCATCCCTCTCCCCCCATATCAAACCTATGAATGAAGTTCATGAAGTAAATCAGTTCTGCCATACATTTTGAAGGGCTTGGGGGGCTACTGACAATTACTATGTCAAGGACTATCAAAATAGAGTCTTACTTTCTCAAAGCTGCTACAGAGAGTCAATGAGACCATCCAAGAAAAGCTACCATATCCCTGAAGACAAACTTGGAACACAACTAAGTGTAGTAAATAGAACCAGATATCACAAATAATAATAATATGTTGCATTTAAAACATATCTTTGTTTCCTAAGATTAAAAAAGCTGACATTTTTTGAAATGTTCCAAGAAATCAAAGACAGATGCGACCATAACCTTTGTAATTCTGGCAAATACTATTCTGTAAACGCAGATTGACTCTTCATATACAGCACTTTTCAGTCCAAGAAATTCCAGATATTCCACCATAGTTCCTTGGAACAAAATTCCCATAAGGCATATGATAAAGGCTACATTACATCTGTCTGGTTAGCAAACAGAAATGTAGTGCCATGAAAGAATGTTGTGGGCTAACTATTCACAACTTGGGGTCCCAGATTTCAGTAAGCTTTCAGCCTGTGTATTTGACACAGAGACATTTAGAAAGATCAACAATATAGTAGAATTCCCTTCTCACCTTCCCCATACCCCACACCCCATAACTTGCCTTGATCTGGCCAGCTTAGAAAATTTGAGTGTTTTCTTTGGATTTCAGAAAGTTTACCCTAAATTGCTCATATGTCAAAAAGCTCCCCTTGTCAGAATGGGCATCAAATTTAGGCAGATTATCTGGGCCTCACAAATGAGTTTCATTGTGTAAATGTCCTAGGAAAGGAGAGGAGTAATATATCTTGTTTGGGTAGCAAAGTATGTCCAGCATTATTTTGAAAACATTAACTTTTCTTAGTTAATAATATTAAAGCTATATGCCAGGGAGAATCACATGGGGAATGACTGTTCACCTTATAACCTTAGGGGTCCCAGTTATAGTTATTGGCTTCTATCTATAAATTCTTTACACCTTACCCTAAGAGGAAACAAAACAAGTCCCAGTTAAAATTGTTAAACTCATTGTGGTGGCTAGACTGTGGGAACAAATAGATCAAGAACATAGAATGGTTTCAATACAATAAAGGCTTGTTTCTTTCCCAGTAAACAATCCATGCAATGGTTCAGGGGCTCAAGGTCCTCTCACCTGTGGTTCTGCCATCCCTTTGGGGAGCTCTTCATCCTACCAACAGAAAAGGACAAGAGAATGTGGAAGCCAACATCTTCCTTAAGGGTCTTGGTTCAAAAGTGGCACATGGTGCTTTTGCTCATATGCTGTTGGTGAGGGCTTTTGCTCATACGCTGTTGGTGAGGGCTCTTGGTGGGGGGGCACGCCTGACTGAAAGGGAGGACTGGGCACGGAGTCTAGTTGTGCACCTAAAAAGAAGAGAATAAACGACTTGGAGTTTCTGGCACAGTGCACACTCTGGCCACCAAATATTCATTTGCATCCTTCATTCCACGTACGGAACCACACAACCTGAGGGAGACTACTCAAAAGTTTTCTCCACTTAACTCAAAGCTAGTGTCTCTGTGGGATGCTCAGTCCTCTCTGTAAGCTCAGCATGTAGTCCCTTGAGGTCTGACAAACTTAGGAAGATCAAGGTATCTCTCTTCCTACCCACCACACATGCTCACACACATGCACACCAACACACACCAAATACACAGTGATAAGACTGGGCCTGGAAAAATGCCATAAAATGCCATTCAGAAAGGAATGAATGGGAAACACACAGTATCTACAGGCTGATTGCAATGATGAATTCATGCTGAGAAGGTATTTTTCAGTGAAAGAAGTTGTGAGAGTAGACCCTGGATCTCTATTGTGGGTGAAATGCTGTTGTCCATTGTTCTTTTGAAAGATCCTTCTTGGTTTGTTATTCTCCAGAACTACTTCTGCAACAGCCAGTCGGTGCAGTATTCAGAGCCTGTTTCTTGCTCATATGAGTTGATGGGCCGAAGTATTATTTTAAGGCTTAAACTATCAAAAGATTTAAAGATTGAGGTCAATCCTTCTTTGCCTTAGAAATTTAGTAGACCTTTGATCAATTTACACAGAGTCCATTTCATGTGCCAGTTACCATACCTAGTATCATTTCCCAGGATTGTTTCTAAGCCTGTGGATTTCCTTACTGAACTTTATAAAGATGAGAATTCTATCTTAGTCCATCACTTATATCCAGAATCCAGAACCTAGTATTTACCTGGCACAAAATCAGAACATTTGTTAACTATGTTAAATGCCTGACGTTGTCCTTACAATGTAATGGTGTTCAACATTTAACAATTGTGTTCAGCTATTAACATGCAGTGGGAAACTCATTGAAGTGGGAGACAGACTGGGGGGTTAATTCCAGCTTTTATGCTTTGTAGATGGTAATATTGTGAATGTTATTATATTTTTCTCATATTTTGATCATCCTCACATTGTTGTGTTTTATTTTTGTTTTGGAGTTTTTGCACTTTTATGTTTCACACCAATATTTACTTTCACTTGCACTTTAACAGTTTCACTCCCAATCCTTGAAAGAGAGGAAAGAACTAATGATGTGACCTAACATTCCGTGAGATGCTTTAGGGAAATTTTCAAACTATAATTGCTATAATGCTAATAGGATTTCTTAACAAGAGCCAGTTGGAGTCCAACCCAGCGTGATCCATTAAGCCACGGCTTCAGCGAATGCCATGACATTCTGAATACGGCCTGCTATAATTGGGTGTTACGTTTGGGAACCCTGTCCTAGTTGATGTTACTTTGGAAATTTATTAGTAAACACATAGTTATGAAATTTAACTGTTTGTAATGATTGTCACATATGTCTGATACCACAAAATACTCCAGGAGAAGCTGGAGCTGTGCAGTGTACAGTAGCACTTGTCTTTAAAATTTGGGAAGTGTTGGGGGTGCCTGTGGCTCAAAGGAGTAGGGCACTGGCCCCATATACTGGAGGTGGCAGGTTCAAACCCGGCCCCGGCCAAAAACTGCAAAAAAAAAAAAATTGGGGAAGTGATCCCAGACCTAGTGCACATTAGAGACACTTAGGGAAGTTTTAAAAAATACCATTGCCTAGACTCCCAGGAATCCTGATTTAAATTTAAAACTTCTCCAGTGATTCTAATTGTGAATCAGTGCTTTTAAAAGGGAAACATGCTATTGTAAGGGACACTTTAGCTCCTGTCACTAGAGGTGAAATAAAAAATGTTTGTAGCAATATAATTTAATACATGAAATCGTCACAGCCTTTCTCAGTCACTTTTTCAGATGCTAGCCATTTACTTTAGGAGGAGAGACGGAACTGGCAGTAGGGGTCGGCTTAAACGAGGCTCTGTGCAGCCGGCACAGTAACCCCTGCCCCTTCCTCTGCAGCACATCATGCTCGTGCAGCGCCAGATGTCTGTGATAGAAGAGGATTTGGAAGAATTCCAACTTGCTCTGAAGCACTACGTGGAAAGCGCTTCCTCCCAAAGCGGATGCTTGCGGTAAGTGCTCCTACACACCACCATAGGCCTTAGCCAGCTGGGAGCTGGGCAGAAGGCTTTTCCCACTGTAGTTGAGGCTGGGTCTGGAAGACTGACACCCAGGAGACCTCGTATGAGGCTGTGCTGTGCTCTAGGTGGTGGTGTCTGTGTAGCCTTTAACTAGATGTTTTCTCTTTGGTGCTTGGGCCCATTTTCTACTTAATGGTTAGGAAGACAAGCAAAATAAAATGAGGGGGGATAAAAGAAGAGGAGGTTGATTTTGAAATAGACTGAAACTTCCCCTTCTGCATCCAGGCAGCCTGAACTCTGATTTAAAACCATCTCTGGTAGATGAGGCCCCAACTCTAAGGCACGTAGCTTTGATTGCTCCCTTGGCAGCATGCCTGATGTCTTAATGATCATTTCAGCCTTTATGAAATTGCAGGGACATCTGAAGTCATGATTTCAGGCCTTAGTCATTCCAAAAGCAAAGGACAACCCAGCAGCTCTTATCTCAGTCTAAAAAATATACTAATTATTCCTCATTTTCAGTTTTCCATTCCAACCAATACAATAAACAACTAGAATTTTTCCAGAAGCAATTATCATAGAATTTCCTTAATCAGAAACCTGCAGTAACTCTCCAGTGAGTATGTTATGTTATGAGTATCAACTGTTGTTTGTCCTGACTCTATGTCTGCCCTACAACAGACCCAGGAATACACATGGCTGCTGTCTTGTTCTCCCACACCTGAGCACTGTGCCTCAGCTATGCCTCGGTAAACTTTCCAGCAGGATCTGCTCATTCCTACATCTGTACCTTAGACACCGCCAGCTATTTTCCCTCCCTGACATATGCAACCAGCTGCAGGTCTTTGCCTCGAGTCCAGAGCTCAGGCCCAATCTCACCTGCTTTTAGAAAACTTCTACAACCGAATCTAACCCTACCACAAATGTGATAAATTTCTGTGGGGAGAACCTTTTAGTAGCTCTAAGCCTCAGCTTCCACATCAAGAATCTCCGAAAGTAGTGGTGAGGCTTAACCAAGATAGACCGTGTGAAGCGCTTGGCACAGGGAAGAGCATGATACCCGAGCTGGGTCACCACTGTGTCTACGGCTGCTTCTCCATCGTTGGCCTGGCTGGCCTTCTCTCCAGAGTGTGCGTACGGTTCTACTCAGGGCCTGTGTGAGAGGAACACGGAAAATGCTGGGCTTCCATGATTATTTTTGTTTCTCTACTTCCCACCAGACCCAGAAGGGCACAAATCAAAACTCCATTTTAGTCCTTTTAGTTCCGTGACTCAAGAGAGATTTGCAAAGGTGGGAATATATGTAGTTTTCAAAAGCCCACTCATTTAAAAATAAAATTGAATATTTAGAAAATGTAAAAAGAACCTATATATACCTTCCACAGTGTAAACTGCAGAAAAGTAGAGCTCAGTAAACTCTTTTTTAGGTAGTGAGGATATAGAATATAAAGTCTGTTTCTCTGTATCACAGTCTCCAGGGATTGACTGCATGTTTTAAATTTATAAGAGGGACACGAAAGTTTATTTTTTATGGTTCAGAAACATTACTTTAGTGTGTGTTGGGGAAATGACCTCAAGCTACCAGAACAGCCCCAGGGAGCAGGGAAAACAGGCTGCGGGAGAGAGAGACTACATAGATTGTGTTGCCTCCTACAAACTGTTCCCTTTGTAACCAGGATAAATTGCTCCATCAGCTCCTGCTGTGAAGTAGAGGGAAAGGATCCTTCTCCTGAAAGATAAAGAGGGTCTCAGCATCTCCTTCTCCTTGGCAAGATTGGCTTGTTTTAAGGGTTCTTCACTGGCTTCTTATTGCTAATTTTTTAGCTAATTTCTTTCTCTTACTGGAATTATCAAAACTTAGACTACATCAGACAGAAGGAGGATCAGAGAATCACCACACACAGATGGAATACCTGTGGAACAGCCATTGTGCCCCTGTGCCTGTTTGAATTCAATTTTTCGGTTGTACCAGTGAATCAAATTCAATTTTCTACCTGTATCAATTGATAAAATTCCAATGCCACTGAGGCCATCAGTCATGCTCTAATGCTCGCAGCATGATGGCCTAGTGCTCGGCTGAGAAAATCCAGCTTTCTAAATACCGGAGCTTTGCACAGTTTCTTCCTCACCCATAATGTTTAGTTTAGCCTCATTTCATGGTTAGACATAAAAGGCTGCCATAAAAATGAAATGATATTATTGATCATTAATAAGACTAGCCACTTTGCACCCATTTTCTTTTTAACCTTAACAGTAGTCATCAGAGGTGCATATTATATCCAGCTTAGGGTAAACAGGCTTGGATGGGTTAAAGACTTGCTCAAGCTTGTTTGACTCCAAAACCTATGTTTAACTTGTCTTGCCAATATTTGGTCACCCTTGAATTAGATTTCTTGGACACTCTGTAGTTAAGCAGAGGTAGAATAGATAAGATCTCTCCTGTTGCAATCACAACAGAATTTTACTTTCTTAAATTCAGGACACTTAATTTGAGAAGAGTTTGCTGAACATTTGCCTAGGAGACTTGGGAAGTTTGGGGACTGAGAGAGGATATTTATCTTAGTCTGTCAATGAGTTTTTGCAGAGTTAGTGAAAAACTCAAGCAGACCAATTGCATGGACCCATATTAAACACACACACATTGATAATATTCTTGTTTTTTATTTTTTAAAGAAACAAGGTTTCTCTGCCACCCAAACTTCAGTGTGGTGGCAAGATCCTAGTTTACTACAGCCATAAATTCCTGGGCTCAGGTGATCCTCCCCAAGGCTGGGATTACATGCCTTTGAACCATGCCCAGCTGATACTTGTGTTTTCATCATAAAGGCTCATTAATCCCTATATTTGGCATGAGGAGGTACAAATTGAAAATATATTTGTGATATACTCTGTGTTTATAGAATCATGCCTGACACCAGAGAAGGAAAGAATAGTTTCTGCTCTCAAAGATTCTACAATCTAGTTGGGAAAGCAGGATATTCATTCATGAAGGGAGAAAACAAATGAAATCATGTTCTTGAAAGTAGTTAAATAAAATGATTTCTGAAGTCATAGCCATAAAGTTCTAGAACTTCAATGTGTTCAAAACTCCATGGTAAGGGCCTAGGGAACATAAACATGGGATTATATTGTATGAATTGACCCTGACATATCCTTAGGAACTCATGGTAGCAGAATGAGCCATTAATCTTTTATCAGTATTTAGATTAAATAAATTGGTGGCAGAGCTTGGTATAGAGCAATGTGAGATAATGCCCTTCTTGTTGTGTCTTTTCTTCATTGGTTAGGCATTGTGGGTTACAAGGTAGGGCACCTCCCTGGGGGGAGGAAGAAGCCCAGAGGGACAGTTTTGTCCATCATGAGCAGCTGCTTCAGGTAAAACCTTTAACCCCAACTATTCCTGGGCTACATTCCTTTCCCCGAGAAGCCAATCACTGACATGTTTTTCAATTGTAGGAATATTCAAGGTATCCTAAAGCTCAGGGCTATAAGACTGCACCCAGAGACTTCTTAGCCAAAGAAATCTTACTGCAGCCAGTGAGTGTTAAATGTCATTGGAAGTGTGAAGCAGAAAGACAGAAGGTGTTCTGGGTTAGCAGAGTCACGTAAGCAATAGATCATAGGCGTGTCATGTAGTTTTAAGTTTACAGTTAATTGAAAGCTAATCATTCAAACCCTAAGCCCTTTAATAGTTGCTGACATAAATCTTTCTAAAAATTATTTCATAACTGACCTTTTCTTGCTGTCTTGGTGTCATCATTGTGTATCATTAACTGTATTGTATAATTTGAAACATCAATATCCTTAAATGTCACTGACCCATGTTGGCTTATTTGGTCCTTAACTGAAAGTACCTAGTCTGTAAAGCAATTATGGTTAGTTATGCCCACAAAATCTAGACTCAGTTATCACTGCATCTGCCTCTTGTTATCCTTTTTAGGTTTTCTACTCTTTGTCAGAGTGTAGCTTTTGGAACCAAAATGCCTATGTTCAAAGTCTGATTTATTCAGTCCTGCTGTGTGATCTCGGACAAGTTAGTCTCTTCATTCCTCAGTTTCCTTATGCATACACAATGGAGAAAAAAATAGAGAAAACAGCACATACCTGTATCACACAGGGGTGCTTTCAACTAGAGAAAGCACAGTAGCAAGTGCCTATATTATTTATTGTACATTTATTGTTGTTTCATCAAGGAGTCTGGAGGTAGCAATCTTAAGGGTCCTTCTACAGCTTTATGTCTTTGCGGATCCCATGTTTGTTTTTCAGCTCTGACATCTGGCTCTTCACCAGATGGCCTGTAGTCAGGAAGAAACAGAAGGGAGCAATTCCAACAAGCTCTCCTCTCGGGCCTGATCCTAAGGATACAAATGTTTTCCCAAAGCCCCTGCTTCCCAGCATTCTTGTCTTTGCATCTCCTTGGCCAGAATTCAAGTCACAAGGCCAGTTTTGTCCACTGTGGAGGCTAGGAAACAAGTATCCAGGAGAGAGGAGATTGTCATGACAGTCTCAAGCCAGGAGTGATTGGTACATAGGATACATTTAAAATTGAACAATGGTAGAGTCCTGTAAACAAGAGGAGTGATAGTTGGAGAGGCAAAGGACAGTGTCAGCCACACTATGAATGTAAAAGGACTTAATCCATGTATTAGGAAAATGTTTTAGCCAGGGCCTGGAACAGAGCAACATGTATATTAGAAATCATCACTGGCTGGGCATGGTGGCTCACACCTGTTATCCTAGCATTCTGGGAGGCCGAGGTGGATGGATTGCCTAAGTTCACAGGTTTGAGACCAGCCTGAGCAAGAGAGAGACCCTGTCTCTAAAAATAACTGGGCATTGTGACAGTTGCCTATAGTCCCAGCTACTTGGGAGGCTGAGGCAAGAGGATCACTGGAGCCCAAGAGTTTGAGGTTGCTGTGAGCTATGACACCACCATACTCTACCAAGGCAACAAAGTAAAAATATCTTAAAGAAAAAAAAAATCATCATGACCACTGCCACTATTATTAGCACTTATACTATTATTAGACTCTTGCTTCTCAGTGTTTTCACAGATATGTCTAATTTTTCCTTTTTTCTTTTCTGGTCTTCCCGCTTTTCCATTCCCCCAGTTCCTTTTACTTCTGTTACGCTTCTTAGCTTTCACACCATCAAAGCTTTCCTTTCATAGCTAATCACCCAATGAAAGTGAGACCTTTTTAGTTGTTGGGCTAATAGCTAATAAAACACACACACATGTACATACACAATATGTCTACCATTTGGTTAAGTATTCTATATGCAATATGTTATTTAAAACTCATCACCATTTCATAGAAGGGAAACTGATGTTGAATAATGGGCCTGAAGTAACACAACAAATGATGATGATGGTGGTATGTCTGTTGGACCATACTTTAAACTACTGCTATATCACCCTGTGATATACTCTTTAATCTTTCAAAAAGTTGAGCATTATGCTAAAATTTTGTAAATTTTTTTATGGTTTTATAGTCTGGAAAATGAGAGGTTCAGATAGCAGGGTAAGTGGATTTTTTTATGTAATAAGTAATTCAAATGAATTAGTTTGCAGTAAGCAGTTGATGAAGAGCTTGCAATACTAGGCTGTGTGTTTTAAACTTTATCCTAAAGAAAACAGACATGGACTGTAATTTATTTATTACACAGCTAGGTTATGTTTGGGAACTTCAGCACCCTTTGGGACTATGTCGGAAGGTATGGAGTCTCTTTCTGGGAAAGTGTATATAGCACATTAGTTTGCAGGTTATTTCTGGGATTTCACGGAACTCCCCTCCCTAAAACCCATTCATGAACTCCTGAGATTAGAAATCACAAATTCCACTTTCAATTCAATTCAGTACTATATTAAACCTTTTCCCAGAGAATCTGAAGATGAGCTGATAACATCATAACATTTTTGTTCATTCCTTAATTAAGCAAACTAGATATAAACAACTCTGGAAAACACTTAACAGACCTAGAGAAAAGAACACAAATTTCTGTGTGTAGTTACTGCCATCTGCTGTCCACACTTAGGTAAATCCTAAATCTACATGAATTGTCTATTCTACTGGTAAATTCTTTGTCTTCTATTAACTCAAAATCCTTGATTTTTAATCCCTCATTTTGCTTTCTAAGTGGAATATATTGTGAAGCACTAGGCTGAACAAACTACAGTTTTATAGTCATTTTTAAAGGCATCTTTGTCTCTCATTCTCTAATTCAGCAGTTCTCAAACCCTGGGTCGTGTATTAAGGGCTGCGGCATTAGGAAGGTTGAGAACCACTGCTCTAATTTATGGATCTGTCCCACTTCTTTATTCCTTTGTTTCAACATTAATCTGGATCTTCATTTCTCCCCTAAGCTATATTTCACTACCTTTCTAGATTTTCTTTCTGCTTTGTATGACTTACCTCCATATCATACCTTGTACTCCCATCAGAAGGATCTCTTAAAATACAGTTCTAGCATGTCACTCTGCCTGCTTTAAATCCTTCAGCAGTTCCTTGTTGCTACAGGATTATATCTCAATATATCTTTTCAGCTACCTCTTTTCTTCATTCCTCTAGAACATACTGATAGGTTTTTAGCCACCTTCAAGCTACTCAAAGGTCTGAAGGAACACATTCTTCCCCAAACTGGAAAAAAAATTTTTTTAAAGTAAATAATTATGGCCAGAATGTGAGTTCTTAAACTTTGATTTACAGACAAAGTTAGGGTGCATGCATGTATGTGGGAATAAGAAGACAGAGAACCATTAGGCACTGGCAAACTATAAGTTTGTTGTATTGCAGCAGTATGGCCCAAGTGACTCAAATGGACCCCAAACAAAAGCTGTCAACATAGGGATGGGGTTAGGCTAAGAATTTGCAGAGCTACAGTAGTTGACAAGGCCAATCCAAAGAGCTACATTTGAGGGCAAAGGCAGGTAGCATGCACTTGTATTTTTCTGACCTCTGGCACAACAGATGCTCAATAAATCCTTTTGAATAAATGACATTTACAAAAGTTATATATGAATAGCTATAATACGTTGTTTCTGTTTTCATCATGCCAAACCAGAAAACTAAAAACCTTTTATGCCAGACGTACGGAATAAATCCATTCTTGACAAACAGGCTTGATTTTCATGTAGGCACCTTAGATTGTTTCCCATATGAATGGATAAGAGTGCTTCATACCACACAGAGATGATTATAAAAATCAATTTGCTTCACAAATCAGTAGCCTTCTCATATTCCAACAATAGTCAGGCTAAGAATCAAATCAAAGACACAATACCCTTCACAATAGCTTCAAAGAAAATGAAATACATGGAAATATACCTGTTACAAAGGATGTGGAGAATCTCCACAGAGAGAACTATGAAACCCTGAGAAAAGAAATAGCAGAAGACATTAACAAACGGAAAAACATACCCATACTCATGGCTGGGAAGAATCAACATTGTTAAAATGTCCATGCTATCCAAAGCAATCTACAGATTTAATGCAGTCTCCATCAAAGTACCACTGTCATACTTGAACAAATAGTACTTCATTTCATATGGAACTAGAAAAAGTCTGGAATAGCCAATTCAATTTTGAGAAATAAAAACAAATATAGAGCCATCAAGTTCCAAACTGTAGGTTATACTACAAGTCTGTAGTGATCAAAACAGCATGCTACTGGCACAAATTAGAGATATAGATCTCTGGAATAGAGAGAACCAGGTAGTCATATGTAGAGGACTGAAACTGGACCTGTACCTCTCACCAGTGACAAAGATTGACACTCACTGGATAAAAGATTTAAAGTGAAGACACAAAGTAATACAAATTCTTGAAGAAAGTATGGGGTAAATTCTTGACAAAACTGGCCTAGGAAAAGATTTATGAAGACAATCCCCTTATCAATTGCAGCAACACTAAAAATAAACAAATGGAACATGATCAAGTTAAAAAGCTTCTGCACAGCTAAAGGTACCACAGCTAAAGCAAACAGCCTTTGGAATGGGAGAAAGGCAATCTTTATAAAGTATCACAAGGATGGGAAACCAAGTATCCAACGTATGCAATACTAATGTGAAGCCAACATATAAACAACTACATGGCCACACAAAAGGAAAACACAAGGATAGTCTAGCAAGGAGGAGGAGGAAGGGAGACTGGCAGGTGCTCACCTAATGTGCACAATGTGAGGGGCTCAGCACACCCCCAGGTAAAGGGCCCAACCACAACTTGAACTTTACCTTAGAAATAAAGGCAATGTAACCTAAACATTTATACCCTCATAACAATCTGAAATTTTAAAGACAATGTTTGCTTCTTTAATTTCCAAAGGTTAATTTTACCTTTTCTTTTCTATTTCAGTATTTCTATTCAGAAGCTTTCAAATGAATCTCGCTACATGATTTATGAGTTCTGGGAGAATAGCAGTGTGTGGAATAGGTAAGCTGTGGGCAAGGCTGATTTTCTGCAAATCCAGGGAGGTGGCAATATACATGATATAATTTTAGGATCTGTACGGAAACTCCAATCCATTTACCTCAAATTAAAACCTGTCCCATTTTTCCCATTACTCTGAATCTAGACTAAAATCTTACTTTATGGATTAGAAACCACTTCCCTCTTGAAGTCCAAATACTTTTGGTAATGGTCCCAATTTGAGTCTTACTGCTTTAGTGATTCTTTCAGATAAGATTTAAATAGGGGTAATAAGTGTCTAAGGCAGGTGGAGGCAGTAGTGGAAGTGGAGTTAAAGAACAAAAAGGGCAGTGCCTATGGCTCAAATGAGTAGGGTGCCAGCCCCATATGGCAGGTTCAAACCCAGTCCCGGCCAAAAACTACAGAAAAAAAAAAAAAAGGAAGAAGAAGAAAGAATAAAAAGCTTTACCTCCTTTTCATAAGATAAGCTCTCTGGTTATTTTATAATAAAACTACTTTTAATTGTTAAGATCATCATAGCTAACACTTTCTAAATGTGTTAAGATGATCATAGCCTAACACCTTCTAAACACTGCAAATAAAAAGGAAATTTAAGTTATTGTTTGGCAAAATTTCTTTGAAATTAAAAAGATCACTAATAGTATACACATACTGTATATACTTTTTAAAGGGTATGAAAGAAATTTTGCTATCTTGAGATTAAAATCACAGTTCCAGGTGATTTTAAAAGATACAGACTACTAGCTCTCTAAAAAGTCCATGTGTAAGGTGTTAAACATGGTAATGAAAATAAGAGTACCTGGAAATTAAGTTGATACATATATCACCTGAAAGTTCTATTTGTGTTACTATTTTGAAAGCACTTTGTGCTATAATAAAGGCAAATGACACCAATAGTATTTTGGGCATACAAGAGAGCCTTAGAAACAACTAATTCAACTCCATGCGTTGAGGTCTATACTTTCAGATGATTTTTTATTTCTTTTTATTCTCTAGAAGTAGAAAAAAACGTATAGTCCCTCTTCTTAGCTATCCTGTTTCTTAAACATCCTGACTACCAAAATAATCCTCTTTTCAGCTTATTGTTATCCTGTTTGAAAAACTTTTTTAAAGTTTCTGATGACAATTATTAAATTACCCCAGAATTTTTAAGGCTATAAAACCACTAACAGAAGTCTACATCTAGGCATTTACTTAATCCAAATTACCCAAATCCCTTCCACCTTGATTGAACTCTGCACCACTCTATTTAGAAATTCTGATTGTAAATAAAATGCACAGTCATAACCTATAATTATTTATACAGGCACCTTCAGACAAATTACAGCAAGACATTCCAAAGAAGTAACGTGGATTTCTTGGAAACTCCCGAACTCACATCTACCATGCTAGTTCCTGGTAAATATTCTGGGTTCACAATGCTTCTATGTGCTTTTGTATTGTTTTTTCCTTCTTAAAAGATAGTATGTTCACCCTCTACTTTATCAGTGGTGTTCTTTATTATTTCTTTATATATCTTACAATTTGGGGCAGGGCAAGAACAAAGAGATCCATATATTTGTTCCATTGTCTTTAACCCTTGGTTGACCAGTTGACCCTATTTGTATTCCTGGCTATAATGAACCTACTATTAATCATTTGCTGATCATCATTTTAACAAATTTGAGGTACAAGTCAAATCATAACATTTCAAAATATTCAAATGCTTTACCATATTGTAATTTAGTATATTGAATACCGTTTGAAATAAGTGATCTATAGACTAGAGATTAGAAATCTGTTAGAACGATTTTTATTGTAACAGCTGTTACAATGATGCAAGGGTGAGTAAACTGTATGTAGCCTTAAGACCACATGTGGTCCTCCAGATCCTCAAGTGTGGCACCCCTTAATTAAAAGAATTTTCTCTATAAAATTTAGATTCACTCAAAAGGTGGTACTCAAAGTTCAGAAGGTCACATGTGTCCAATGGCTACAGGTTCCTGGCCTAGTTAGAGTATTGATATGTGCTAGACAATGGGATTACTGTGCTCAGCCTATAACCGGCACTGATTAAGCTTCAATTATGAACAAGCATTGTGTTGGGAGCTAAGAGAGTACAAAGTAAAAACACAATTCCTACCCAATAAATGCATTCTGTCCAGTTTGACAGAAATATTTGTAAAGGCAAATGTTTGTAGAAAAGAAAAGAACCCAGCTCAGGGCACAAAATAGTAGTTACTATTAGAGGTAGTATGTGCTTTGTGGACTTAAAGTGATTACTTCTTTAGTTTTTAGAAAACGACTTGAGATAGATCTTAAAACATATGATCTGTATAAGTAAAAGTGGTACTTTGATAAATTCTAGATACGAAGAAATGCCAAGTGTAAATGTGCTTGGCTTATTGGTGCCTTTGGCTTGTACATGGCACATGTGGACAGAGAGGAGAAAGGGAGAAATGAGGTTAAAAATAGCATAATGAGAAGTCTGAAAAGTAATCTGGAGGCCTCTAAGGTTTTTGAGAGGAATCATGACCTACTCTAATCAGTAATAACTGATACAAGGAAGAGATGTGGATGTCAAGGAGAAAAGAGATTAACCAGGCAGGGCAATAATTTTTCTAGGCCAAGGAAAAAAAACACCTGAACCAGGAGCTAGCCAGAGTTTGGCACTCCACTTGCATATACAATTTTCAGGAGTTAATTGCAAGATGATGGCTAAAGCCTGGGACTGGTGAGAAAGTATGCAGATAAGAACAAAATAAATACTAGAAGTCTAGGGAGATGTCGTTCTTTAAAACGTTGGTAAAGGGAGAAAATGGAGACTGAGAGGAACCAATCAGAGGCAGGAGAATCAGAGTACTGGAGTATCAAGGAATCCAGCGGAGGAGTAAAATTCAATGATACAGTGCACCAGAGATTGGGAGCAAGGAGGTATAGTAGAGAGCCACTGAAGAGAGTGGGACAGGAAATTGCACTTGACAAGGTCACTGCTCAAGAGAACAGTTTTAATAAAGTGGTAGGAATTTTAAGTTGGGAAGATTTTGATGAAGTGGGGAAGAATTGGAAGGTGAAAAAGCAAATTCTGAAATTAAAGGTAGGCAAGGACATGAGAGAAATCAGATGTGAATACTTGCAAGTTGGCTGGCTCAGTTTCTGCCTGAATTCTAGTTATGTATTTACTAAGGAAAATTTTGTCTAGCTTAACAAATGGTAGAATTACGGAATTTCTCTTGCTGTACAGCCCAAATTTAATCCTCAAATAGAAAAGCCATCAATATGGTTGAAATTTCTCATGATTCACAATTTGATTCATGCAATTTAATCTCGGATGTACCATAGCTTGAGGAAAGGTGCAGCAGAGGTGCAGAGAGAATGGTAGCACAGGCTAGTATGACACAGACAGCAGTGACTGCCTTCAAATTATCCAAGAAAGTTTTACCTTAACTATTATACTAGGCTTGAACAATGCAAATGGGGAGAAAAGTCCTAGAACCCAACTTGTATAAATGACTGCTGTAGCCTGCGTACACAGAATGCAAGAAAGTGAGATCCATATCTTACTTACCATAGCATTCCCTGCCCTAATGCAGTACAGGTACAGTGTCTGGCACACAGCAGCAAACATTTATTAAATGAAGGCATAAGAATTTTGACTTCATCATAAAGACACTGGTCTGCAGTCATGGAACATTTCCAAGAATTCCTGACACTTGTAATTTTTGTGTTTGCCATCATACCCATTTTCAACTCTCCCAATCCTGAAATCAGTGGTTTAAAAATGTAGAAAGAAAGGAACAAAGTTTTTATTGGTGTCTTGAGTCTTTCAGGAGAAAATCCCCTGAATAAAAATAGAGTACAAAAAGATGATAGAAAGAGAGGTTAATGAGTTATCAGTAGGGAAAAAATGCTATAGCAAGAATTGAAAATGTAAAGTAAGGGGGACTCTGGGAAGATGGCCGACTGGTAACAGCCCTTGTCAGAGGCTCCTGAGCAAAGGAAGAAAAACTGGACGGAATCAGAATCTATGAAGCCAAAGACAGGGAGCTGAACCCAGAAAGAAGTTCAGCAAGCTTTAAATCCAAGGAAGAGCATTTAAGAACACAAACTACAGGTACAAAGAGGGCCCCAGAACCGCTTGCTAGAGCCGCACACCTCCTGCCAGCGGTGGGTGGCCACAGAGGAGCCCCCAGCTCCAGGCAGGCACAGAACTACTTGCTAGAGCCACGTGCACCCCGCTGGTGGCAGTGGAGGAGTCCCCCACTCTGGGCGGGCCCAGAACTGCTTACTAGAGTTGCACACCCCTCAGGCAGCAGAGGAGATCCCGGCTCCAGGCTCCCGGTCTGGGCAGGCCCAGAACTTCTTGCTAGTGCCGTGGGCATCCCACGGGCAGTGGTGGAGGAGTCCTCCATTCCAGGTAGGCCCAAAACTGCTTGCTAGAGACACGCACATCCCATGGGGGCCAGCGGAGGACTTCCCTGCTTCAGACACCTGTGTTGGGTGGGCCCAGAACTGCTTGCTAGAGCCACACACAACCTGCGGGGTCATGGCAGGGGCGTCTACTGCTCCAGAGGGGCGCAGAACTGTTTGCTAGAGCCACATGTGTCCCACGGGCGGAGAAGGAGTTCCCTGCTCCGGGAGTCCAGATCAGCTTGCTAGTGCTGTGCGCGCCCTGTGGGCAGTGGCAGAGGAGTTCCCAGCTCCAGACACCAGTGTTTGGGGACCCAGAACTGCTTGCTAGAGCCACATGCAACCTGCCGGGCCACTGCAGAGGAGCCTACTGCTCTGGGCGGGCCCAGAACTGTTTGCTAGAGCCACGGGTGTCTCGCAGGGTGGTGGTAGAGGAGTTTCCTGCCATGAACTCCCATACCAGGAGGGCCCAGATCGGCTTGCTAATGCTCGCATGTCCAGGGGGCGGCAGCAGAGGAGTCCTTTGCTTCCCATTCCCCTGCCCCCTCCCCCCAGTTGCCCTGGCATGGCTAAACCAGGACTGATCCAGTCGGTGCTGTTCCCCTGCCCCCTAGTTGCCCCCCACCCCGTCACCCTGGCAGGCGAACTAGGACTGATCTGGTTGCATGCCTGCCCTGCGCCACTGCTGCTGTTCCCCCACCTCTCGGTTGCTCTGTGAGGCTGAACTAGGACTGATCTAGCTGCTGCAATTCCCCTGTCCCCGTTGCCCCAGTGGGGCCGAACTAGGATTGACCTGGCTGCGTGTGTTCCCCGCACAGCTGCTGCATCTCCCCTGCCCACTGGTTGCCCCAGCAGAGCTGATCAAGGACTGTTCCAGCCGCTGCTGTTCCCCTTCCCACTGGTCGCCCCGGTGGGGCCAAACTAGGACTGATCCGGCTGCTGCCATTCCCCTGCCCACCGCTCACCCTGGTAAGGCTGAAATAGGATGGCTCCAGTCACTGCCATTCTCCTGCCCCCACCCCGGCCTCCCTGGCAGAGTGGAATGCCGTTACCCTGCTCCCCCTGTCGTGCTAGCGGGGCTGTGGAGGACTGATTCAGCAGCTCTTATGCTCTGTGCAGCTGCTGGTGTTGCCCTGCCCACTGGTAACCCTGGCGGGGCTGAACTAGAACTGATCCAGCTGCGCAAGCACCCAGCACCATTGCTGCAGGTCCCCTGCCCCCCCAGTCACCCTGTAGAGCCAAACTAGAATTTCAAGAAATTATTCAAAAGATGTCTTAAGAATTCAACAATTTCAAAGATAAAAATGACCAAAGATTTTGAGATAAGAGGTTGCAGCCCTCAAGGATCTGAAAGATATAGTGAAACCGTAACAGAGTGGAACAGGCCGAAGAAAGGATCTCTGATATTGAAGACAAAGCTTTTGAATAAGCCCAGGAGTGCAAAGATCAAAAGAAATGGAAAGCAAAAAACAGATCTTTCTCTCAGAGAGCTCTCCTCAAGAAATCGGAAAGAGAGGAAGTTAACAACTTAATAGGACATCTCAAGGAACTGTAAAAGGTGGAACATTCCAATCCTAAATCTAGTAGAAGAAAAGAAATGACCAAAATTAGAGTAGAATTAAATGAAATTGAAAATAAAAGGATTATAGAACAGATCAATAAATCAAAAAGTTGGTTTTTTGAAAAGGTCAATAAAATTGATAAACCTTTGGCCAACCTAACCATGAAAAAAAGAATAAAATCTCTAATCTCATCAAAAAGAAACGGTAAAGATGAAATAACAACAGATCCCTTAGAAATTCAAAAAATCCTTAATGAATATTACAAGAAACTTTATTCCCAGAAATATGACGATCTGAAGGAAATCGAACAAAACTTGGAAGCATGCCACCTCCCAAGACTTAGCCAGAACTTAGTGGAAATGTTGAACAGGACTCTATCCAGTTCTGAAATAGCATCAACTATACAAAATCTCCCTAAAAAGAAAAGCCTGGGACCAGAAGCCTTCACGTCAGAATTCTACCAAACCTTTAAAGAGGAACTAGTACCTATATTACTCAACTTTTTCCAAAATATAGAAAAAGAAGGAATACTACCCAACACATTCTATGAAGCAAACATCACCTTGATCCCCAAACCAGGAAAAGACCCAACAAAAAAAGAAAATTATAGACCAATATCACTAATGAATATTGATGCGAAAATATTCAACAAGATCCTAACAACAG